GCAATGACCCAAAGCACACATCAAAAAGCACCCAGAAATGGTTTCAGACAAAGCATTGGAGAGTACTGGACTGGCCAGCATTGAGTCCAGATCTGAATTCCATAGAGCAGCTGTGGAGAGATCTCAAAATAGCAGTTGGGAAAAGGAACCCTTCCAAGCTGAGAGACCTGGAGCAGTTGTTGAGAGAAGAGTGGTCCAAGATTCCTGTAGAGAGGTGTAAGAAACTCATTTGGAAGCAATCAATTGATTTCAGTTGTTTTTTTTCTAAGGGCTGTGCTACCAAATATTGAGGGTGACAATTATGTCCAGTCCATTTTTGGAGTTTTGCGTGGAATGTGTCAGGTTTGGCTTTTTTTCTTCACTTTTTTGTGTCATACCAATACAAACAAAAGAAATAAACATGAGAATGCCCAAAACTTTGTAATTGAAACAATTTGCTGTGCCTAGTAGTGCATTATCTGACAGAAATGCATGGGTGCCAATATTTTTGTCCATGACTGTATATGCTCCAAGATGGAGGCTGTCATAGATTAGAGTTAGGACTAGGGCTGCAGCGAACGATTATTTTTATAATCGATTAATTAGCCGATTATTAACTTCGATTAATCGGATTAAAAAAATAATACCGTAATTTATTTAAAATAAAATACACAAATGCAAAGTTACAAAGTTTACTTCAGAATAGAACGGTATGCACATTTTTTGAAATTGCACTGCACTGGAACGCAGGGCATTGTGGTACCGTGCATTCCAGTACGGGCAATCACACTGCGAACGGGAGGTGCATTTGGGATCCATTGAAATGAATGGCACCACAACGCACCTCCTGCAGCAAAATGTACAGTATCAGGCCGAAACTGTAAATGACATTTCCAACCATTTATATATATATATATATATGTATATATATATATATTGTATTATATTAAACATTTGAATTAGTTTCATGAATTTAAAATAATGTAAATTGTAAAACTCTAAGCCAATATAATATAATAACCAAACTTATTTAAAATAACACACCAAAAAAATATATTTCTATTTTTAATTTTAGTTTATTCAACTTTATTTTTTTTAAATTTGTTTGCATTTTAAAACTTTGTAATTGAAACAATTTGCTGTGCCTAGTAGTGCATTATCTGACAGAAATGCATGGGTGCCAATATTTTTGTCCATGACTGTATATGCTCCAAGATGGAGGCTGTCATAGATTAGAGTTAGGACTAGGGCTGCAGCGAACGATTATTTTTATAATCGATTAATTAGCCGATTATTAACTTCGATTAATCGGATTAAAAAAATAATACCGTAATTTATTTAAAATAAAATACACAAATGCAAAGTTACAAAGTTTACTTCAGAATAGAACGGTATGCACATTTTTTGAAATTGCACTGCACTGGAACGCAGGGCATTGTGGTACCGTGCATTCCAGTACGGGCAATCACACTGCGAACGGGAGGTGCATTTGGGATCCATTGAAATGAATGGCACCAGTGGCTATTGCACCTGCCCACTGCCTGCTGTCAATCCATCAGGTCCTCCTCTGCTGATTGACAGCAGGCAGTGGGCGGGTCCAGATGAGCCCCCTTTGTCAAAACCCAGGTTTTGCATTTTTAAGTATTTATCAAAGAACATTTATTAAACAAGCCTGCCATGAGATTAGGTTCACTAGCAGAGACTGTAATGAGTCTCATTCTTCATTTGTGTTATTTGTTGGTTTAGTGTTGTCATTTTTCAAGGCCATTTTTATTTATGGGATTATCGATTGCCTACCATTTGAAGGTCACTAACACAGCAGTGGGCGTCAATGGTTACCTAGTTACACTGCATCTTCACATGCTTGCGCTATCAGACACTACATATGTAAAAACGTTCCAGTTACGAGTGCGCATGCGCCAGCAGACACCATATGTCTAAAATGCTGTGGGTACGATTGCGCATGCACATGTGTAGAAAGGCGAATCATTTTAGGTGGTTTGTCTACACAGTTGCACACATTGGAATATTGCAGTCCCTCCCACATAGGTGGGTGAGGGGCGTGGCGGGTTTCCTACAACCAATTAGGTCGGTATTTATATAGCGACAATTTACGCAGCACTTTACATCGTTGCACATTCACATCAGTCCCTACCCTCAAGGAGCTTTAAACTTAAGGTCCCTATCTCACATGCATACATAGAGGGCCAACTTAGAGAGGAGCCAATTAACCTACCAGCATGTCTTTGAAGTGTGGGCGGAAACCGGAGTACCCGGAGGAAACCCACGCAAGCACAGCACAGATAGTGACCCTGCCTGGGATTCGAACCGGGGACCCTAAGTGCAGCAAGGCAGAAGCGCTAACCACTACGCCACTGTGCTGCCCAACACATGACAAAACATGTGAAGTGCTCACCCCACATCTGTAGGTATTTGAGGTGGTTTGTCTATAGATTTGCACACATTTGAATATTGCAGTCGCTCCTGCACACGGGTGGGGGAGGGGGTGTGGCGATGAGCGATACCTCCCTACAACCAATTAGGTCTTGCTAAGCACATGAAGAAACATGTGAGTGCTCACCACACATCTGCAGGTTAGTTTGCATGTAACCATGACATTCATTTATTAGAACAGTATGGCTTTATTTCATTCAGTAGTTATTGTCTACTGGAACATCTTCACTGTCGTGTTTGGTGTGTTTATGATATGCTTTTATTCAGGTTATGGCAATGATATACACACTGTCCTCATGTTAAATTACAAAGTTTTTGAATAGTTTCTGGTGGGAACATGATGTCACGGTGATGTCAGGGGGTTGGCGGGAGTGGTTTTCTGTTCATTTGCATTGTTGATTTGGCTATATAAGATTGTCTTTTTCTTTAGCTGTATTGTCATTTCAAGCATGATGAAGGGGACCCTGTGGGGCCCCAAAACGTTGCTATTTGTTTTGACACGAAGCATCAATAAACAGATGTGTTCTTCACTTCAATATAGTGTGTGGTGACATCTTTAACAAGTACCAGATGAGCCCTGTCACAATCCATAAGGGGTATAGCATCACAGCACCGTTTACAGGTCAGGGTCTAACTTACCTTGTCCTGCAGCATTGTGTCCCCAAGGGAGAAAGCACATCCTGCCTCCACCTATCACAGTGGGCACACCCCTAGAAAGGGCCTTGGGGAAAGGGCTCCACCAACAGATGGACCAGGGCCCTGAGACTGTATAGCACCCTGTGGCTAACTGAACAGGTTGCACAACAGTGCAAAGGTGAGCGCCTCGTCCAGCATTCAGTGCCCAAAGGGGCATCATAGGTCAGGCCTGTGTCTTCGTCTGGCAGGGACGAGATACGGTCCACGAGGCACTTGCTGGCCGTGGGGAACCATTGGGGAAGCTGCAGGGGGACAGTCATAGTGGCTACAGAGCATTCAGAATCTCGACAGAAAACCAACAGGAACGATTTTATAGTAGAAATAACATTCCTCTCACAGAGAAAGGAGGTTTAACACCTAAGGACACTAGCAAAGAACGAAGAGTTGCTGCGTGTGGGAGGGGTTATATGGGGCTGTCCTAACAACTTTGTTGCCACTGTCCAATCACCTGAAGGCAGCTGCATATAACCCATGGTCTAAGACAAAGTCCTGCACTATACAATTAGGAAATATTTTCTACTTCAATTTCATCACTGCTGATCATCCCCAGCCTCTTGCAGCCACTTTCTAACTACATGCACTCCATCCAATATGAATATAATTGACCTGGACTGGATTCCAGATAGTGACAATGGTGAACCATGCCCAGATGTGATAGGGAGACAACACAGGAAAGCAACTGGTAGACAGCTGTCATCCCATAACAGAAAGTGCCTGACCTTGACAAGATTCTAAACATCTTTTGAAATTACATTACCATTTAAAGCTTATACAGCTAGAATTTTAGTGATTGGGTATAAATCTACTTTATTATCAGGGGTGTTTTTATACTACATCCCTTAAGGTGCCCACACACCTTACAATTATCTGAAGATTTTCTGTGGTCAGATGGAAAAAGTGCAACAGATTGGCCCAGGTGAAGATTACTCCATCCACATAGTTTAGCGTAGATGGAGGAATCTGTTGCACCTGTTCCATCTGACAATCGAAAATCTGCAGATAAATTGTAAGGTGCATGGCCAGCTTAAGAAATATGTTTATAGAACAGCCTGGGTGATACATTACTAGATTTCAATAACAGGTGGTGATGTAGGTAAAATATGGAATGACAGCTGCCAAAACCAGTAAACTCCATGAACTGCGGAAGACAAACTCCCTCATTTACTACATGGAAAAAGTAAAAAGCAGATCAAGGTTTTGATATAAACTGTACATTTTCCTAAATAAAAGCCTAGATACGAAAATATAAAGTGTCACATAACCAATCTGGAAGAAAATGGATTTCTGGAATGAAAACCCAATCGAAACAGAAAGCTTATCACTTAAACCGCACAGCAATGACAGAGTGCTACACATAGCTTTGCTACCGCTTTAATGATAAAACTGTTTCCCCGTTGTGACGGCAATAATTACACATCTTTTGCAGCTAAAATGTCCTTATTTCTCTTGTCTAAACTGGCACCATCATCATTTGTCACTTTATTAAAAAAATAAATGAAAAAAAAATAACAAAAGTTACCTCTTTGGTGAGGCAGGTACCAACAAAACTCATGGAACATTTTGTAAACTGAACGGCAATACAGCGCTGTACTTTATAAAGTTTGGGTACCACAGATAGTCATCACAATGCTAGTTGTGATTTTATAAAACAATTTTAAGCAGAGGCACAAAGCAAAAAGAATTTAAAGTAGGATATAAACATCCCTGCTTTACACACACACACACGTATATATATAGATATATATATCTATATATATTTACACATATACATACATATATAAAAAGTGCATAATATTCTACTTTGAATCTCTTCAATATTTTCTGGCCACTTCCACAGCAGTTTCCCAAATCTTTGTCTGCAACAAATATACTCCAGCCTAATCAACAGTCTTTAATATTGGTGCAATTTGCATCTGCACTTCTGCACTGAATAGCATCAGAATCATCCCTTCTCTTGTGTAATTCAGGTTTATTCAAGCCATTCTTTGCAGTTTGAGGAAACAAATGTTTTTAGTGTTTCAAATAAAGCATCTTTGTTACAAGGAGTTGGCATTTTCCAACAAGGGGGGTCCATCTCTATGAATAGAAGGATGAGGGGGCTCCCGCTTGTAAGTTTTTGGCGGGAGCTTCGGTATAGGCTGAGAAGTGCTCTGTCGGGGTGGTACAGGAGGGCCAGTGATGGGAGGCAGTTCTACATCTTGCTGTATTAAAGGGGGTGAAGGTAAATGTCTTCTGGTTCCATGAGGGGATGGAGTCTGAGGGGGAGGCTGGGTAAATGGTGAAGGGCTATAAGGAAAGAAAGTGGTAGCATGTTCACTTTTTCGTCCAAGTGGAGGTGGTTGAAGGTGAAGTGGAGAACTGGAGAAGACATCAGGAGTACGTACTGGTTCTCGTGGTGGCAGAACTGGGGGGCTTTCAGGTCCCTCAGAGACTGAGGAGCGCTCAGACATTGGATATCGTGGGGAGTATACTTTTGATGTAGGTTGTCGAGGTGGTATTGCTGGAGGACTGTCCACATGTTTAGACATGATCTGAAAAGCAAAAGACATGGAGTATTAATTATAACTTCATGGATTCTGAGGATATGAATGTAAAGCCAGAGGGGCCAATAATAAAGTGGACCTATACTCAAAAGGTGAAAAAGTGCTATCTTATAGGGACACGAGACTGTGCCTGTAGCTTCGTAGATTCATATCTGCTGTGTTAGATCATCTAAGGCATATCCTGCCCACTTCTGCCTCTAATGATGGCTACTCTCATAAGACTTGCTGATGTGAGACTGTGTTGCTCATTTTTTTTCTGAGGATCTGCTGGAGAGGAAACTGTACTTGAGGACCTGCAGCACATGCAATCCTCCTGCTCCAACTTTGTTCATGCTGTGGACTTTTCCTCCTGCTCTTCATCATTAACCTACCAGTCATCAGTCATCCGTGGGAAAGCTTTGGCATAAGGAAGAAAAGCCTTGCTTCTTTATCAAGATGGCTGCCTCCACAAATGAACAGAGTGCTAAAAAGGGTACGTCAGTTCTGGGGAAAAGACCATTATGGTATGTCAAGTCAGAACGGCTTTCTTTGTTTTGGAGTAGGGCTTTTACTGCTATATGAGACTCCGTTAGAGATATTTCCCCTCATTTACTATTCTACTAAAAAGGTTTTGCCAGATGGAAAGTGAGGGAAACTTTCCAAAAGTAACAGACAGAAATAATAACACTTTTTTTAAGCAGAGTAGAGAAAGGCTAGAACCTCTGTCAGATTCATATTTCTGTCCCTTTTGCAGATTTTTCCTGACTTCCTGTCTGGTAAAACCTTGGTCATCCAGACAGAGTGAGGGAAAATCTAACAGAGACTTGCATAGCAGGGATTCTAATCCATCCCCAATCTATTTAAAATTAACATACACTTTATTATAATACAATGGGGTTTAACTTGTACTTGTAAATTTTGCTGAAAAACTGAGCACGCCAAGGTAAACATCTAAACACAAAGTTAAAAAATACACGCATAAAATACTGATTCATTGCCCAGTAAGGGACAGGTGACACAGGTATCTGCAAAGCCAAAATACATAATAGTGGTGTAACCTGCTTGATTATGCAATATGGCAGGGATGTCTGGTGTCACAAGGCTATGAACAATAGAAATCTCCAGCACTTCGTAAATGAAATTCAAAAAAAGTCCATTTATTTGGACTAAACATCACACATATCGCATAATCCAACGTTTTGGGGCCACGCAGGGTCCCTTCATCAGGGCAGAGATGTGGACTTTTTTTTTAATTTCATTTACGGAGTGCTGGTGATTTCTATTGTTCATTGACACGGCGCCATCCATGATTGTCACTGCAAGCACGACTATTTTCACTTGGGCCGGAAGCGCTGTAAGGAGTGCAGAGGGACCTACGGTTTTCTGGTGTCACAAGGCTGTCTGCCCAAAATTACAAATCCTGCAGAAGGTATAAAAGATTTCATACACTATTTCTATTTCAACTATACATTAAGCTTTCATTTCATCTTCAAAATGCTGTTTGTAAATAATTGCCGTAAAATAACATAAGGCAATGTCAAGAAACAAACATTTACATTTACCTTTGATGGGGATGACTCAGTTGGGGCAGATTCTGGTCGTCTTCGAGGAGGTACAGGTGGAGGAACCTGAATTTCATCACAGTTCTTAGAAAAATTGATTGAAGATACAGAGGCAGATCCTGGAAAGAAATAGAAATGGTAACGTATACATTGTTAAAGCAAAGCTGAATATGCACAGACTAAACATCTTTGCTCAGACTATCTAATCCATGAATGTGGCCAAACAGACTGCAAAATAAAGATCTTATAGTGAGTACAAAATTCCTATTTTCTTTCTTGTCCATTGAGGAATTCAGATACTGTCAGGACATCCAAAATCAGTCAAACTGAGGGGTAGGCAGAACTGGGGACTGCCTGCAGCTCAAGAGCCGCCTGAAGGACCAGTGCCTGAAATGGACGCCAGATGATGGTGAAAAAAATGTAGAAGTACCCAAGAAGTTGAAGGGCATTTTCTCCTAAGCTGAGGCCCCATGCTCCCAAGATGGCACCCAAGGGGTTCTTTACATAAGGGCATTTTGCCTCTTATGCAGCAGTTTGAAGGGGAATGCTGGGAAGTGGGGGGATAGAGTGAGCCATGTGAAATCTAAAATGGGTGAATATTCCTCAGCACACAGAAACATGCTCCCACACTGATTTAGAAAAGGATCTCTAAAAAGTTCTACTGAAACTTGCTGACCTAGAAGACTGCTTGCATCATAATATAAAATTATGCAGAATTGCTGAATCTGTTCTTCTAGAGGACCTTTATTAGTATTTACAGCAAATAATAGCTGCCTCGCTACCACCTGCTACCCAGCACCAAATTATTGACAGGACTTACATATTGCTTAAACCCTTTTAACTCCCTTAGCAACTCCTCAAAGATGTGATTGATCACATTCATTTTAACATGCAAGAACAGCTCATGCAAATTGGCATTACTTTATTTGCTGACCTTTCCCAAGTCAAAAACATTATGGCACAAAAAATGATGACGTGAAAATGATTACTACCAACTACTAAGGCCCTTGGGAAGAGCAAGATCAACTATAGGTGGGGATACCCAGTCAAATGACCCCTCTTTAGGCCTTGTTCACACCAAATGCAGAGCAGATCCGGTCAGGTTTCTGCATACGCACACTAGTCTTTTAGACGCGTTTTTTTACACGTTTTTGATGCGTTCCGGGCTATTTTTGGTAAAAAAAAAAAAATATATATATTTTTTTCAAGTTTAAAATGGGCTTCCAATGTGTTCCAGGCACTGGCATGCGTTTTTTGATGCGCTCCAGAGCAGATCCAGAGCAGGTAACCAGGAACTCGACATAGCTTTAAATGTTCTCCAGTTGCAGTACAGGCAGATACCTGGATCTTAAATTTGGGGTTCTTGGGGTTTTCATGAGCTGTAAGCCATAATCATCACAATTATGACAAATCACGGCTTGAACTATCTTGCTTTGCATGTAATGAGTCTATCTCATATATTAGTTTCACCTTTTAAATTGCATTAGTGAAATAAATGAACTTTGCACGATATTCTAATTAT